GCGAAACCTCGGCATCCCATCCCAGCGTGGTGCACACCAACAGGCGCGGGCAGCAGGCGAAACCCTGGCATACCCCCTCTGCGCGGGGCGCCCACGAAACGCCCACGGGCGGGCACCAGTGGAAACCTGGTCAGAATCTCCCGCGCAGGGCGCACCATCGGGCCGGCAGCACGGGTACTCTGGATGGGACAATGATCGCCCCCCCCTTGAACCCGCTGGGAGGGTTGGGCACGTGTTGTCGGCACGGGTGGAGCGGTAGCCGAAGGAGAAGCGGAGAAGGAGGAGGAGGAGGAGGAGGAGGAGGAGGAGGAGGAGGAGGAGGAGGAGGAGGAGGGGGGAGAGATGGGCAAGCTCCGTCGGAGGGTTAGTCGCCCACCTCTCAATTCATATCCCACCCAGAGCAACCTCGGCACACCCTCTGCGCGGGGCGCCAACTGGGCGCTCACGAAACCTCGCCCTCCGGCGGGCACCTGGTGAAACCTCGGCATAACTCCCCTGCGCGGGGCGGCCACGAGGCGCCCACGGGCAGGCACCAGCCCAAGACTGGGAATACCCCATACACTACTTGATGGGCGCATTTGCCACCACCACCACCACAATAGGTCGGAGGGAGGAGGAGAGGATGGGGAGGTCCTACTCTTCTTCTTCCCCGAGGGTAGCGCGCGCACGTCCGTGCACGCACCGCTGACTAGCGGCCCAAGGCCACCACTGAGGTGCGCACCTTAGCCCCCTTCACGTGATGGACGAAGCCCCCCTCCATGGCCCTTATGGCCCGAGCCCCGTGGACCCCTGGCTTTGTGCAGGGTCGGGACAACGATTTGAGCTGCACAGACGTGGCAGCTCCGCGGACCTGGCACCCAACCACCGCAAAGTGGTGGCGGTCGAGCGCCTGATCCGTCACAAAACGCACAATCTTGTGGCCGTTGAGTCCGTCAGCAATGATCCGACGGTTGGACCCCACGGCCCGCGACACCACGGCACCAGGGCACTCCGCCTTCAAGGGCGACAGAACACGGCACCGCAGGCACCACCTGGCCCCCTCGGGGCCGATCAGCTCGTGGCCAAGCTTGGGAAACACCAACTGCAGCACAGGCGCCTTGTCGGGCCTAGCGCCCGGCCTCAAGATAACGGTGTCTTGCGAATTCACGGAGGCACCAGCTCGCGCAATGAAGCGAGCTACACCCTCAACCAGAACTTGCGCGAGCTGGAATCTCTCTCGATCTGCAGCCTCCAGTCTACCTCGACCGGCCGCGAACTTCGCCTAGATGTCGGCCGAGAAATTCCCGAAACGATCGCGGCGAGAAATCCGTCCGCGATCGACGTCAGCTTCGGAGAGATGGGCACGGACCCTCCGAACCAGGAGCCCCTGGGGCCCGACCCCTCCAAAGTCCTCCAGGGCGGCCCAGAAAACACGCCAGAGTTCGGCCCACGCCGCCGCATAGGTCGTCGTCCCTTGAGGACCACGCTCTATGCCGTCGGTAACAAATTTCGAGTCCGTGACCGCACAGATGGGCGGAACCGAGACTCGCAGCAACTTGGCAAGTACGAACAACTCCGCGCCATCGACGTCACGATAGGCGAACGGCAACCTGCCGTGCACTACATTGCTGATGCCCAGCGGGTCAGTTTCATGCAAAACCACAATCGCCCACCCCGCCGAGCTCACGCCGCCCCACCCCCCATCGAAATGCGAGCCGTCCAGGAAGGCTTCGCGGGCGCACAGAATGCCGCCTCCAGCACGCATATGCCACGTCTCGCAATCATCATCGTGGACTCTGAATGAGTCTGGTACGGGGGGCGATGGCCACCGCCCGCGCTCTAGCAGGCACTTTACATGCGGGCGCGGCAGCCTCGCGAGCAAAATCTGAAACCTGTCGGGCATAGGGAAGGGGGGGCGCTCGCCTTCCGCAAGCCCCCCCTGACACTCGCAGCGACGGTGGGCCAAGGACCCGATCCGAGGGCAGAGGAGACAACCAGACGACGCTACGTAGCCAGCCTCGCGCTTCCTCGCCATCGGCCACCGCCCATTAATCAACACACTCCTAAGATACGCACGCTCCTGCAAGGCCAGACTGCCCAGGCCCCCACACTGGTGGCTCTGGGGCCACGAACCTTTCAGAAGCCGAAGTAAAAGCGCCATCACAGCATCTTTGCCCAGATGTTCGCACCCATCAGCACCAGCAATCTTGGCCCACTGCCAGGCCTCGATCCCGCGGACCAGGAGTTCCCTGAGGCACCAGACCGAGACGCCCCCAATGTCCACAGATCCTCCATCACGCGCGACCCAGGTGAGCACATCATGGTCCGAGAACTTCCAGGAGATCCGA